ATTAAAAGGAACGATAAAACATTACACAGAAACGCTCAGAGTATACGGAGATTCAGACTACGCTTCAGAAACCAGGACTTTATTGCAGACAAACCAAGGCAAGAGACCGAAACCTGTAGTTTCCCGGCACACGCTACTGGATGAGGGAACCCGTAGTTATCAACTCTTTCATAGCAAGGATCAGAAAGCCAGTTTTCGCTTAGATATCGTGGCCATGTGATTTCCAAATTCTTTTGCGTCCATTAGACAAGAGCTGCCTGAGGTTGTCAAGTGTCCAGTCCTACAGTATAGGCCGCAGCGACAAATTGGTACCCAGGACCCACCGTTTGCCAGACATTTTTTCTTTAGCTATATCATTTCGGGGGCCGAGCGCCTATCTTAAGAAGTCTCCACCTTTCGCGTTACCAATTCTCAGGTTGAAAAACGAATTCATACGCAGCTTGGAGTCACCCAGACAGTTCCTCCCACCAAATCCATTTACTCACAGTGTTACGGGAAAATCAAAAGACCCGCGAAAAGAACTGCTATCAGTCCAAAGAATAGGAAAGCTAGGAATAGGAATTTGAGGAACAGGAGAATCCACGGGTTGGATTACAAACGATTCACTGAGGTGATTTGATTTTGTTTAACTAAAAAGTCGAACATGGAGAGGGTAAGACCGGAAGAAATGAGCAAGAAGGGAAGAAGAAGAGTAAACGAGAGCAGAAGGGTACAAGAAAATAAAAGGCGGTGACCAGTCCTCCGCTCAGGCAAGCAGAAGTCCCTTTCATTTTTTTGTCTTGCCAACCATAAGCGCTCAGAAAAGAAGCCTAGCTGAAATGGATTGTTAAAACCCAGTCTGAAGGAATCTTCTCCACCTCTGGTCTGGAAGAGGGAATGGTTACGGCCCCTGGACGAAAGAAAACCACAAAAATTAGCGTTCGAGGAGCTTACTGACGCAATGTGGCTCTGGAGAACTTAAAGTTTCCGGAATCTGACGCAATGGGCCCATAACATTGCGTCAGATTCACGGAAACTTTAAGTTTTAGGACAAAGCTTCAGAGGAGAAGAGGGAATCCGAACCGTGTAAGCAATTTTCATACACTCGTATTTCGTCCTGGGTTTCCAGTAAGGGGGGGGGGTATTGTGATGCAACGTCAAGTGGCTGCCCTCACCCACCCCCTAGACTGCCTTCACTTCCCCTGGCTCACGGGGTCCCGTACTTCAAGAAACCTGTGCGCCAGGGGGAGTGTAGGCAGTCTAGGGTGGGGAGGTGAGGGGCAGCCACTTGCCCCCCCCCCCTTACTGGATGAGACCCTTCGTCCTTCTGTGTTAGGCTTAGTCCTAGTGGCCTTCCGACAGACTACCTCCCCAAAGTCATGGAAGTCTCGTTTTGGGAATCCCGCAAAAATAGATATAGGAA